CCTTCAAGGCCTGGCTCGCTCAGCCTCCGCTGCTCACTCCAGCCCAGCCTCATCTCCTGCCTCCATCTCCTGCCTCAGGCTTTCCCTGCTGTCCCTGACTTTGTGGGCCCTCCCTGACCATGTCATCAGGGCCACTAAATTCCTGACACAGCTGTCAGGTCTGCATCAAGGACAACGCCCTGTGGATAACAGTCTCTCAGGGCCAGGCAGGCCCCAGGGCGCCCCAACCCTGCCCTGAGCAGGAACGCAGAAGCTGGGGCTCCTCACCTGTGGCTCCAAAGTCCAGAAGCCCAAGCAGCTGACCTTGGCCATGAGCGCTGAGAGGCTATTGGGAATCCCCCAGGAAAAGCCCACTGTACAGGGCTGTGGCGTTCCTTACCACAAAGCTCAGCTGAAGGGGTCCCCAGGTCCCCGGCCAGAGGTGGTGGGGGTGCTGGTGGAGGTGGGGGTGCCTGGGTAGTTGGTGGTGTCTGGCCAAACAGCTCCTGGAGGGGCCCCTGCTTCTCCTTGATGGAGCTGGAGGTCTCGAACCGCAGTTGGGCCTTGGGTCGAGGGGCCACAGCTGGTGGGGGGCCCTTTCCTGGGCTGGGGGATGGTGTCTGTGGAGCACAGAGAACGCACACAGACTGTGTCTAGGGGGAAGGCCAAATTGACCCCTGAGAGCCTCGGACTCCCTAGCGGAGCAGCTATGCCCTGATGGGATGGGACGGGCCTCACCGAGGAGGACAAGTGGCCGCCAGTGATCCCCAGCTTAGCCAGAGCCTCGTCCTTAGGGTTGTTCTTCTTCAGGAAAGTCTTGGGGGGCCTCCTGAGAAATAGAAGAGGTCAGAAGCCCACAGGGTGACCTCCTGGGGAGCGGGCAGCGCTGGCCGCGCCCAGGCCCACCTGAATGGCTGCACGGGCTCCGGCACGGGGCCCGGGCGACTCTGGTACATGCGGATGATGTTTCCGATCTCTCTGCTGGGCTTGTTCTGCACTTTGCCTTCAACCCGAGCCGGCGCCAGCCTGGGGCCATCGCCAGACCCTACCTCCTGGGCCGGCTGAGCCTCAGCTTCCCTGGCAGCTTTGGCCCCACCTAGTGTCAGTGGCTTCTTCACTACGGGGGATGGAGGAGGGGACGGTGCTGGCGCTGACCGGGAGGAAAGGAAACACAGGGGACCGTGAGCAGAACGGCGAGGCCCGGCCCTCCCCCACCTCCCTGCCACCTGCCACCTGTGTGGGGTTCCTCTTCTTCCTGCTCCTCCTCCTGCTCCTCCCCTTGGGGGATCTGCACCTTGGTGGGTGGCTTCACCATCTTCACCTTGCTCTGCTGTTGTCCTGTAAGCGCCCAGATGGCCCTGTCTGTCACCCTCCGCCGGGCCTGGCCATCAGTGCTCCTGGACAGGCCACACTGACCCAAGGGAGCAGGGTGCACCCCTCTGTCCCCTCCTAGGCGGGCGTGTTGACCGAGCCCCTGCGCGAGGCCTGCCACCCCAAGTTCCCTCACCTAACCGCTGGAAATAATCCCGTTTCTGCTGGAAGTTCTTGGGCCGCTGGGGCCTGTGTTCCCCCTGTGAGGTCTCCTGCTGTCAGAAAGGGGATGTGAGGGGGCAGCTCTGCCAGACAAGTCTCCACTCCCGGAGCGAACCCCTCCTGTCCCGGGAACTGGGGCCCGATGGCATCTTTTCTGCATCTTCCCACCCCTCCCCCACCCTCTAGCCCGTGTCTCCCATCGCCGCTGCCCTGGAGCCTGCCTCCCACTCCCAGGCCCCGCCCTCTGCCTGGCCTCCACTCCTCACCTCCAGGGGGGCCCCCACTGACTCCAGGTCACGCTCTGGCTCCTCTTGGGGTGCCGGGGCTTTCTTGGGCTTGGGAGAGATGGCTGGAGCTGGGGTGCGGGAGGCAGCTCCAGGGGCCTGGGCTTGGGCCTGGGCTTGGGCCTGGGCTTGGGCCTGGTGCCGGCGCTGCTGTGTCTGCTGCTCCAGAGACAGGCTCATGGCCTGGGCCGTCATCTGCTGGGCCTGGAGGAGGGGAGGTGACCCCAAGTCACAACTAGCCTGACCCTGCTCCAGACCTTCCCCGGCTAGGTGACCCTGGGGCCCTGTCCTCCCTCACCAGGATCAGCGCCTGCTGGTTGATGAAGTTCTGCTGCTGAGTCGCCAGCAGACTCGCGTCCACGCTGGGAATCAGAGGCTGCAGCTGCGGCTGTGGTGGCACCATCATGGCTGTGGGTGTGGCAGGTGGCCAGGGCAGCTGAGAGCCATGACTGAGCTCACCACCCTCTGGCCACTGTGCCCCCTGGGCCGCTGGCAAGACCCTCCCTCCTCCAGTCCCAACAGGAGGAGGGACCCAGGGCCCTGGCCCAGTCTTACCTGGCATGGCAGGGATTGCGCCCATGGCTGGCATCATGGGCATGGGTGGAGGCATCATGGCCGGCTGGTATCCAGGCACCTGCATCATCCCTGGGTACACTGAGGAAACAGGGCCCTCCCAGGTCGGTCCCTACCCAGGCCCACAGGCTGCCTTCCCCCAGCCTCAAGTAAAGAGACGAGTATGGGCCACCAGGGCACAGGCTGGAGCTCTGACCCCGAGCCTGGGGTTTCCCAGGCCATGACTGCTCATGCTGCTGGGCCAGGGAGACCCTACATGGGTGCTCGGCCCCACACTCACTCATGGGGTAGCTGCTCTGCTGCATGGGTCCGATGGCGCCCCCTCCCTTCATTCGGCTCTTCAGAGCCCAGACTTGCTCTAGATCCTGAAGAGACAAAGTCACAGGTCACGGGGTCAGAGCTAGAGCCCTGGGAGAGATGGGACAGGCAGCAGAGGCCCCAGTGGGGTAGGGTGCTGTGGGGTGTGTGCGCAGGACACTTACGCTGAGGCCTGGGGAGAGGACCGGCTTGAAGAGGTGGTCCAGGAAGCCATCCAGGTTCCCTGAGGTCCGGGACTCACCTATGGGGCCAGAGGACAGTCGGTGTCATCTGCCTGGGGCACAGGGCTTCCTGCACCCCCTATTTCCAGCATTCTGTCAACCTCAGCGTGCCCACTCCCAGCCTCACCTGTGTGGCTCCTGCCGGGCAGTGGCGGGGCTGGACCTGGAGGGGGACCTGGGGGCAGCGAGGGGGCCTGGACGCCAGGGGCAGGGGGGATATCCTCAGCTCTGCAGGAGACAGAGGCCCAGCTAAGCCGGTACCTTGGCTGTGGTGGTGGGGGGGAGGGGGTCGCCTATGACAGGATAGGGACAGGAACAGGCTGGGGACAGGGGTGCTGAGGTGGCACCTACAAGCTTTGCGGAGCAATGGGGTAGCTGTGGGGACCAGCTGGGTCCCCCAGGTCCTCGGTCTGGCCGATCAGGTCCAGCACGAAGTCGCAGCCAGCCAAGTCCTGCCAGGAGTCCCTGGAGTGCAGTGACACAGACCAGCCACGGGGGGGCCCCTCCAGGCCTCTGGGCGGGACAGGGGTGTGCAATAGAGGAGTGGTCAGCCAAGCAGATGACCACACCCAAAGGGCAAGGGGGAAGGGGACAGGAACCTGAGCGACAAAACCAGTTTTGCCCAGACAGCTGTTCTTATTTGCATCTCGCAACCCTCTTACACATCAGCTCTGATGCTCACGCTTATGTGTTTACCTATTTAATTAGGCGTAATCCCCATTCTTGCTCCCCATCTTGAATGTCCTTTCTAGACCCTGCCCACTCACCCCCACGCCCCGCCCCTTCAGGGAGCAGGCTTTGGCCCTGGGCCTGCAGGAGTAGCTGCAGGTGCTTGGTGGGGGGGTGGGCTGGGATGGTGAGGAGGACCCAGGAAGAGGACGGGACAATGGTCAGTGTTGGCCACACTCCCCCCACCCCAGGTCCCCCATACCTGCTCCACAGAATCCACCCTGCAAATTGTTCCCCCGTGGTCCAGGACTCTACCTCGGCGGAGAAGCGTTCCTCTGTGAGAACGAGAGGTGGGAGCCAAGAGTGAGGGACAGGAGGGTCCTCCCTGACAGGAAGGGGCTGTTGTCCCCACGCGGGTTGCAAAAGCAGGACAGAAGGAAGATCAGGGTCACAGGGGGTGAGGCAGGAAGCGGGTTCAGGAGGGTGAGGGGACGGGGCCGCTCCACTGTGGGCTCGGGGAGGCCTGATCAGGAGGCGGGCATCACCATTGAAAGTGAAGACGTCCAGTGCCATTCGGCCCCGCCGCCATCCGGCTGTCCACTCCAGCTGGGTGGGCGGCTGGGCCCGTATGACCTCAGGGGCCAGCTGTGTCTGCTCTAGAGCCCCCAGCAGCTTGTGCTGGCACAGTGCGGCCATGCCTGTGGGGGCCTGGTCGGACACAAATCTGCGGGGACAGCACAGGGCTGCTGTGGGCGTGCAATGGCCCACTGACCTCACCCACGGGGCCTCCGCCCGCCAGGCCCCTTACTTGAGCAGTGGCTTCTGCAGGGTGGGGAGAGGGGGGAAGGCGCTAAGCAGGACGGCCATGAGGGCCCAGCCGCGCTGGCTCTGCTGCTCATCTGGGTTGCGCCAGAGCTGGGCCACCAGCTGGCTGAAGAGCTCATCCCGCAGCCCTGGCTGGCGCTGGCCCTGCTTCGCCAGGTACGTGCCCATGGTCTGCTCCTGCCAGGCCAGCAGGGACCCGTCTCCCAGGAGCCGCAGCATCTGCAGACACAAAACGAGGTGAGAGCAGAACATTCGGGGCTCCTGCGGTCCCAGCCAGCACGCAGGAGCCAGGGTCCGGCCCTGGCATGAGCCCTCCCTGTCCCCTCCGGGATGGGCCACTCACCACCTTGTTGACATCCAGGGCAAGCTGAGGGTTCTCACCATCCAGCCGGGTCAGGGGCTTGGCCAGCAGCTGCCCAGGACTGGGCAAGGATGGCTCCTGCAAGGAAGGAGGATGGCACAGCATCTGAGCGGGGGCCGGTGTGTGCTGCCCTGCTGGAGACGGTCCCGGGGGAACCCGTGGGACCACCTCCCAGGGAGAGGGAGAGGGGCTGGCAAGGAAAACCGTCTTAAAAATGCAGCTTCGTTGCTCGTTCTGATTAGAAAATTAATGCCCATGCATGCGGAAAACTCAGAAAACATGGCGAAGGATAAAGAACAGAAGCCACCACTAACGCTCCCCCACCAAATACGACCCCAGTTAACGTTTTAGCCTCTACCTAGTTCTACTTTCTCTGCACAGGTATATACACTACCTCCCTCCGCTGCTCTTGTTAGCGAAATTTGGGATCATATTCTAAGGGCGGTTTTGCGTTTTGTTTTTGTCCCCAACACAGAACCTGGACAGTGTCCCTGGTCATTACACTCGCTTTAACGATGTGACTTCAACAGCAGGGCAATGCCACAGGCGTGGCATCACAGATCTAAGTAACACTAGAAAGTGAGTCATTTAGGTTCAATGGATATTTTCCAAGCCATGCAGCTGCATCCACAGCGCCCATGACAGGAGAGGGAGGAAGGATGGGGAAGACAGAGGAAGAGACAGCTCCGGCCCGGCAGGGGCTGACACCCGGGAAGAGCTGAAGCCAGGGCATGCCCACCTGGAAGCCGGTAGACATGAAGCTGGAGAAGGGGAACTGGTCAATATCAGGCGGGAGGGTCAGGCTGGTCTGGGCAGGAACTTCCGGGGGCAAGGCCTCTGTGATCCTCTGGACCAGGGTGTGCTGACGGCCTGGGGACAGCACCAAGAGGCAGCCCAGAAATGCCCAGGTTAGGCACCTGGCTCTGGTACCGCCTCCAGCCCTCACCATCGGCCCCCAGCCCCATGTAGAGGGAGCAGAGCAGTGAGCTCGGGGGGAGCCCAGAGCATCAAAGGCAGGGATCACAGGGACAGACCCTCTGTACAGTAGAGGGACTCGGGGAGGGGTCGTGGCAAGAGTGACACCAGTCAAGACTCACCTTCTGCTGTCCTCAGCATGACGGCCAGCTCGGCGGGGATCTCCAGACGCCCCAGCTCCTGCCAGGGAGGAGCAATGGACCAGATACCAAAGGAAGGAGACAGGCACCCAGTCCTTCCTCACCCCCGGTCTATAAACTTCATCTCCACAGATCGAGGATTCTGACCCTGGACGCTCAGATAAACAGGGTCCCGGGAGCCCTCAGAGGGAAGCCAAGAGATCCCAGGCTTCTTCTCAGGAGGCACAACAGATGCCCCTGAGGGACAAGACCCATACCAATACCCCTGGGACCCCGTGCTCCCTCTCAAGATGTGTCAAATTCAGCAGGTTCATACCCAGTGACATCCTCTAGCTTCCGGGCCACCTACCATGCTTGACGTGTTCTTGGAGGCCCCGCTGCCGTGCCAGCCACGCCAATGCCCAAGCTGTCAGGGGAGACCCAGGAATCGCTGATGCCCCGTGAGGAGCCACCGCTAGCTCCTAGCAGCTCCTCCCCAGCTCCACAGTTCAGCCGCCCCCTCCTGCCCCCTGGAAGTCTTGACACTGGCAGAAAAACCAGCACAGACCCAGAGGGGCCAGCTGCCTGTCCCCAGTCCTCCAGAGCCTTCACCAGCCTTAGTGCTGTGCGTGTCACTGCCTGTTTGCCAGAGTATTGGTAAGAGGGTAGGGAGACAGGAAGGAGTGGTCCCAGGAGACAAAGTCCAGCCAGGGAGGGGCCGGAGAGGGGGGCAGTATGTGGGCACTGACCTTTGAGCTGCTTTATGGCCTTCAATATGAGTCATCAGGTAAGAGATGGGAGCAGGTGGGCCCAACGGGAGGGCTGGAGGGGATGGGAAGACACCTTAGGCAGGGAGAGGGGAGTGTGTCTGGGGGCCGGGCAGGGATGAAGGAAGGCGATGACCTCCCAGAGGCTCCAGCCAGGCCAGGCAGACAGAAGTGGGAAGAACAATGGTCTCAGAGGCCTCGACCTCCTGTGTTTGGGCGAGGGGGGTGGACGCTGTCGGAGCTCGGCCAGCGTGGCCAGCGAGACGCCTGCCTTCTACCCTGAGCTGTCCAGTGTAGCCGCCCTACCCAAAGGCCTCACCTGCAGTTTCCGCCGCCGCCAGAGAAGGGGCCGGGTCACCAGCAGAATGGTGTTCAGCTGTCCCAGGGCCGCCCGCCGCTGGAGGTATCGCTTCCTGCAGGCGGTGAAAGGGAGTGAGTAAGGAGGGGTTCAAACTCACACCCAGCATCTGAATCCTCCGAGCTAAGACAGGAATGTAAAAACTGACCCCAGCCCAGCAAAGGCCCCTGGCGCTTAAGGGAGACAACAGGAAAAGGGCAGGACCCTTCGAAAGAACAGGGCAGTGGAGAAGCTGTTCAGCATAGAGGATTAAGTTCTCAAAATGTGGAGCCGACTACCCGGGATCATTCTCTTCCTACTGAGTCACGACGGTCTCGGATAAGTTACTTTACCTCTCTTGGTTTTAGTTTCATCATCTGTAAAAGTGAGTATTGTTGTAATGTCCAGCCCACGATAAGATTAGATGAATTAAGAGACGTAAGTGTTTAGAATAGTCTGGCATATTATTAAGAAGCCGAACTTCTAAAAAAGACATTACTGAAAATCTAATACGAAATCCTGGAAGAGACAACGTTCAAATAAAATGTCTTTGAGAATTTTCCAGATATAAGAAAGACCAGATTCCTCAGCAGGATAAACATTTAAACATTTAAAAATAAATCTACACATTTTGTGCATTGAGGGCCACCACCCTTCGTGAAAGGATGACCCAGAGGGTGGGAGGCCACCTGCAAATCACATATGTGATAAGGGTTTACTGCCCAGAACATATAAAGACGTCCTAAACTCAACAACAAAAAGACAAATAACCCGATTAAAAAGCAGGCGAGGACTTGAATAGACACTTCTTGAAAGATACGCAAAAAAAGCACATGAAAAGATGCTCGAAGTCGTTAATCCTTAGGAAAATGCAAATCAAATCCCCCGGTGAGGTGCAACTCCACACCCACGAGGATGGCTAGAATTTAAAAAGTGGAAAATAAGTATTGGCAAGGAGGTAGAGAAATCGGAACTCTCAGCATCGCGAGTGCGGCCACCGTGGAAAACAGTTGGGCGGTTCCTCAAAAAGCTGAACATAGAATTGCCTTAGGACCCAGCAAGTCCGCTCCTCATATAGACCCAAAAGAACTGGAACAGAGACTGGAGCAGATGCACGCCCGTGTTCACAGCGGCATTCTTTACAAGAGCCAAAAGGTGGAAACAACCCAAACGTGCATCGACGGACGCACGGAGAAACGAAATGTGGTCTAGCTACACAACAGAACATTATTCAGCTCCCCAAAACGAAGAAAGTTCTGACATGACATGGATAAACCTTGCAAACATAACGCTTAGTGCAATAAGCCAGACATAAAAGAAAATTTTTAACGAGCTGACTTACATGAAGTATCTAGAATAGGCATACTCATGGAGACAGAAAGTAGATTAGATAGAGGTTACCAGGGCTTGGAGGGGAGGGAGTGGGAATTATTGCTTAGCAGGGACAGATATTTTGTTGGGGACAGAACATCTTGGAAATAGTGGCGACGGGGGCCCCTCTCCGCAGGCTTTGCTGGTGTCCATGCGACCGCCCTCACTTGTTCTCAGAGCTTTAACAAGCGCCTTTGGGGGGACTGGTGGCTGGCTTACTGTCTGACTCTCCAGCTAGCCTGGGAGGCACCATCTCTGCTTTCATCCAGTGTCACCAGAGTCTGGCCCAGGGTAGATAGAGAAGGCCAGTTGACAGCTGTTGGATGAATAAGTGAAGACAGGCTGTGATTTAACGAGGTGAGAAGAGGGAGTTGGTATAGGACCAGGAGGTCAAAAGAGCCTGGAGTGTAAAAGTCTGGCCAGACTCAGAGGCCGGAGAGGTAGGCGGGGCCGCACACGACCGAGTGCATCCTTTTAAAAGATCATTCCTGTTGCAGAGTGAAGGATACACTAGACTAGAAAAGAGAACACTCAGGGAGTCGAGACTGCGGGTTTGTGTGGCCTCGGCAGATACGGAGCTTCCCGTAACTGGGGTTTTCGAGCAGACGGCATGCGCATGGGCAGAGATGATCTCGAGGAGAGCGGGCAAACCTGCCTTGAGACCTTATGTCTCCCTGTCCCTGCCCGACCACCTCATGAGGCCCATGGCCTCGTCCGCCCTGCACACCTGGCCTGGAGCCCCCGCACACGGGCCTGAATCCGTGGCAGGAGGCGGAGGCGCTGGCGGGAGATGCAGGTGAGGAGGCCGCGGTGCAGGGTGAGCAGCGCCTGGGAACGGTGCTGGGCCCGGTGCTGCTCCAGCTGCTGCCAGCCTGGCTCCTGTAGCAGGATCTGGGGGCAGAGGCGTGGACTGGAGGCAGGCCAGGTGTGGATGCCAGGGGCTGGGGCTCACCTTGCTTTTCTCCTGAGGCCTCAGCTTCCTTCCTTCCGGCCAAACAATCTATTCTCCTGGGGTGCCCGGGACACCTGCCACCCAGACCCACTCCATCTCCCCACCACCCAGAAGGACCACCAGATCCTGGGTTTGTCCCAGAATGCTCCTCTCCCTTTCCAACGGGGCCTGCCCCTCTGCGCACACACCCACCTGGGTAGCTCCAAGGTGACAGAGGGGAGACTCAGCCCCCAGCACCTGGCTCAGGATGGCGCCACACCTCTCCCTGTCAGAGAGCTCTCCCTGCCCCTCTGTCCCCAGGGTCCTAAACCTGCCCGGAGGACAGAGAGTCGAGGTTGGAACAAGTAAAGTGTCACCCTCTTTCCACACTTGAGACGCATGGGCCCTTGGCTGCCCCATTCTGGAGCCCTACCTGGCCAGGAAGGCCTGGAAGGGGACACGCACTGGGAAGTTGGCACTGCGGGTACATACGGCCTCCAGGATGCCTGCCTGGCGCAGCTGCTCTGCCACGTGTCCCACATCAAAGAGGCCCGGAAGCTGTGGCCATGGGACAGAGCAATGGGCACTGGAGTCACGGGGCTTAAAGCTGTGGGAAAAGCAGGACAGAGCACAAGGAGGCGGGGAGGGGCAGGGCAGCAGCAGCAGCTCTGGGGCAGGGAGCTGGGGCAGGGAGCTGGGGCAGCTCACCTTTCCGGGGTTGGGGTTGAGGCAGTGGATGAAGTAGACATGGCTCCTGATGGGGGGAAGGGGGGTCACTTGGGTACAGATCAGCCCCCCATCTGACTCCCTGCCAGGTGTAAGGGGCATTGTTCTCACCTGCCCAGCCTGGCTAGGAGGTCCCCCAGGGACTTCTGGAAGCGAGAGGCCAATGTGGGTTTGTCTCTCCCGCCCCCAGCCTCGGGCTCTGCTTCTCGGAATAGGCTGCCCACCAGCTGTGGAGAGGGAGGGGGGACTTGTCCATAGCCCTGCCTGCCGCTACCCCCAGAGAGCCAAGCCAGGGTGTGCCAGCCCGTGGTCCAAGGTGTCAGGGGCTTGAGGACACTTGAGCAAGAGTGTTCAGGCAAGAAGGGCAGAATGGGGGGACGGAGTGCGGCAGAGGAGGGACCTGGGAAAGATAGGCAGGGGCACCTGGAGCTGGCTCTGAGCAAGCATTTCCACCACGGCAGGGTCCAGGTGGTCACGATTTCTGTTTAAAAACTTGTGAACCTGCAAGAGACAATGTGGGTGCGGGGGAAGCCGAGGGGGGAAGGTAGGGTGTGGGGACCAATCCCTTTGTCAAATAATCCAGCCTCTCCCCTCTGAGTTAAAAGGCCACCTTTGTCTCTAACCAGTGGTGCCGGGAAAACTGGAAATCCACGTGCGAAAGGGTGAAGTTGGACTCTTATCTCACACCATATATAAAAATTAACCCAAAACGACTGGATCAGAGACCTAAAGTGTAAGGCTTGAGACTAGAAAACGCTTTTGCTTTTCAATATTTTATTGGCTGTTCTCATGCATTTTTTTCCAGATGATACTTCAGAAAAACTTCATCAAAACCTATTCCTCCTCCTCTGGAATCGTATCACTTTTCTAGATCAGTTGAGAAAGAATGAACAATATTAGGGCTCCCCGACATGAATGTTGGGTTCAGCTCTCCATTTTTAAGTCTTCTTTGTGACCTTCAATACAGTTTCACAGTTTTCTTCATTCAGTCTTCTTGTGTTTCTTTTCATTTCTTTTGATGTGATTTTTTTTGGAGGTATAATTGACATAGACTCCTTTTGTTTCTTATTTGGGTAACTTCTGGGTAGTTTGTAGTTTTAATTCTACAATTGGAGCGCATCACCTCCTCCAGGAAGCCTTACATGACTTGCCCCACCTCGAATCCGTCACTCAGTCCTATTCTTTATACTAGGCCCCTCCCCTCAATGTCTCTCCTCCTGGGTAGATGTGCAGTCACTGTGAAACTTCAGTGAGCACCTAGTATGTGGCAGGCACCTGCCTGGCCATTTCATCCTCATGACAATCCGTAGGACAGATTCCCACTCCCATTTCACGGAGGAGAAAATGGAGGCTCAGAGGGAGAGCAGACTGCCTGAGGCTGTCAGAGCCAGGCCCCATGCACATGCTCTGCCCGTCTTGGTCTGAAGGGTCTCACAGCCTCCACTGCCCCCAACCTCCGAAGCTAGCCCAGAACTGGGTGTGGCCAAGGGCCCAGGTAAGGACAGATGGCCAAGCCTTGCAAGGAGCTTCTCCTCACCCATTCCTGTAACCCGTCAGGTGACTCAGCTCCCAGAGGAAATGCCAGGGTCACATTGCCCCACTGATTCACCCGGGAGTCTGTCCCTGGTTCACCCTGATACCTGGTAGGTGACTGTCCCCGCGTAATGTTGCACGGTGAAGATAGCAAGGGGCAGCTGGGGCTTGGTGTAGCACGGGTGATCGCCATGGTGATAGTGGCACTTCTGGAGGAAGGTGTGGTCTGTGGCCTGATAAGAGGCAGGTTTCCTCAGGCCCACGCTGCAGTTCGGTGCCTGTGCTACCTGCACACGCTGCCTTCCCCAGCCGTGCCGAGGGGCCGTGGGTGGGGCCTCCAGACTCTGACACCTTGTTGCTCCCTGGCTCCTTGTCCCCGCCACTAGGGGCTCACCTGGGACAGCCACGTCTGGGCATCCAAAATACTCAGGAGGCTGTGGGGCTGGTCTACCAGAAGGCCCAGGCAGGAATCCCTCGGAGGCTGGGGGATAGGCACCCAGGGCAGCGATTCCCGCCGACACTCCTGGGAACGGCCAGCATTTGGCTGTTTAGGGAGCCCACCCACATGTGTGGGGGATCCTCATCTGAGCCAGAGCAGAGATGGCCCTCCCATTGTACAGATAAGTAAACTGAGGCTCGGAAGGACTGAGGCGGTCCATAGCAAGCGGGCTTGGGGGCGGAGCT